CTCATAGTCGTGCATGCCGTAGTCGTTAGACCATTGACCTCGCATCCCTACAAAGCCGGGACGGAGCACGCCGGGTTCTCACCGGACCAGGCTCTCACATCACCAAACGCGAAGCGCCGTGAGATATTTGGCTAGTCGCATGAAGGGTGCGCTGCATCTTGCGAAGGGTGTTCCGTCTTGTGCTTACTTGCTTGCATGCGGATGACAGCTGCGTATGACATAATTTATTTTCTGGTGCTTTCACTTCCGACAGTTGTAAGCACTATGCTGTAACTGCCTCGAGGGTGCTTGACCATTTTAACACAACGTGGTGCGATCATCCCCCTTGCGCGGAGTGAGGGTTCTCCACCCCGCACAACATGATCTACTCGACCACCATTATGGTTACTGCCAAGAAAAAAACAGAGGTAAAAAAAAACGGTAACCTGGTTGTCGAGTTCACGAAGTGAAGTGGCTTGTTTTACAACGTTGTTGCCAAGCGACGAAAACCCAACCCCGATGGCAAACACCGGGGGGGCGAGGCTGGGGTACTTTTTTTGCTGATAATCCTCCTTGTGGGCTACAAATGACCGCTATATAGGTTTTAGTGTGGGGTGCTTAACCGAGCTCACAAATGGTGCTCAAGTTCTTAGCTTCTGATTTTTCCCGAGTCTCAATTTCTTAACTGCTAAGATCGTAAGTGCGCGCGCTATCTGTACTCCTGTTTCACTTATACCAAGCAGCACCTTGCAGTTTTGGACCAACGGCACAAAGTAACCAACATCCGTTGTTCCCAGCAGCTATGCATTCAACGTAAAATGAGGGATGGATGTGGAAATGTCAAACCGGGCCAACATAAAGTAGTAGAGACAACCACGTGGATGTTTGAATCGTTCCTGGAATACATGGCCGTCCAGCCGACAACCTCAGGAACCCACTGGGCTGTTTTGGGAGCACTCACTGACAGTAGTTTTTCTTGATTTGTTGGTGACATCGCTGTCCGCTGTAACACCTGCTGCTTCAATGACATTTATATATATGTTTTGTTTTTTCTCCCATCATTGATTGGACTCTGTCGTCTGCCCCTCTGGCCCCTATCCTCCACTTCTACTAGCTAGACGACCCAACCGGGGTCACATAGGAGGGGGGGGCTGGACCCCCTCCTGCGGTACCTGCCTGAGGTATTTTTTTCGCGAGAAGGGTACAGCAATCCCTTCCCTCGCGACTTACGAAGTCGATTATGGTTTACTAACAACGAGCTCTGTAGCGCGTCGCTTTCATCGTAGACCAGGATTTATATAGTGAGAAAAAAAACTCACTTTGCCGGGCTCGAACCCATGATCTGGCCCTTAGCAGGCTGCGAGGTCACCCACTAGACCACCGTGGCGACCGGTATCATGTGGACGGATCGCTTCCCCTTGTTTGGGCTATCCTGAAACCATCTCCTGTTTTGTAGCATGCACTAACAAAAACGTTTGTTGGTGATATCCCTGTTCGCTGCGTCACCCGCTGCTTCCATGATACGTACATGGATCGCTACTCCTGTAGGAGCTGATGGTGCTCGATCGTCTCCTTTACCGGAACCGAAGCCAGCACCGCAGGGCCAAGTACTACACCCATGTTCTCGAGGTAAGAGCAGATCAGTTGTTTAGAGAGGACCCTATTCCCAGTGTATCCGTCGATTGACTTTAACCAAAATCCGGCACATCTTCGCACAGCAGTCCTGCACAGATCGTACTCCAGCACACAATCGAGACGGCAGTGAAGGATGACTTTCCATTCATTCAAATATCATGCTGCAGCGAACAAGATGTTTCGTCTAGAGCCCCGATATTCTCACAAAGTTGTCGCGCGATGTTTACGAGCGTCGAGAGCGGTTTTGCCGCGACCCCCAACGTTCTCTGAATGGGGATTCCCGATGCGTGTTGCCGACACCATGACTGTTACCGTAATATTCGAGAGTTGGTGCTTGATTTTGTAGGTGAGACGGGCTTGCGGAGCATTCGCGGCGCCGAAGCTGCCGGACTTGCTGGTGGAAGGTTTGGGCCTCATCGCCCGAGTTCCGGACAGCAGGTGTGCATACCGTAGCCTGATCTACCCCTTGAGAAGGGCACACGCACGGCGGCGAAGTTCCAAGCACAAAATGCTCCAGGTTTTTGCGGCGGCATTGACTAGCCTTGCGTCTATGTGCTTTGTGCTGCTTGATAAAAGTATTAATTTGGCACCGTACTCCGGGTGCGCTTGTCAATCAATCATCACGCAGCGATGTTCCCGCCCAGCGTGCAGTTTTTGAGCTGTAGCCGATCATTGCTTTCCAGAGGCTTTTGATTCCGACTCTACCAACGGAATGCTGATACAGCGACAAAGTTCCATCTGACACCACGAGTGTTTTCATCGCTTTTTTCACCCTTCTGGGGAAACGCTTTTCTTCCCTTCAGGAACGGTCGGGCGCGGGAGGCGTGGGTTCGCTCTGCCGCAGGGGGGCTCCGCCGAATGAGCGTCGCTGCCGTCGAGTGCGCGCACTCCCTGGAGGCCATCGTGAAGGCGTCCAAGCTCCTCGCTCACCAAGTGTCTCAGACGTACTTCATGGCCCTGTCCACGGCCATCCTCGCGAGTGTGGCGAGGCTCTTCGCGTGCAACCTGCATCTCGGGGGCAGGCTGCTGCTGGTTCACGGGGCCCTGCTACGCACTTTTCTCGTGAGTTTGACGGTGCTACAGCTGCACTCCAGGCAGAGTTTTGAGGGCAGTTGCCTACCTCCCTTCGGTTCCTGTTCCCACCCTTCGAAGTGAGTCAGCCGTGTGATTCGGGTGCCCCCAATCAAGCAGGAGCATCGATCCCCAGCTCATGTCTTCTGTTCACTCTAATCCTTCCCCTCCCGCGTGCTACCACTATGCTTGTGTCGCTTCCGTCCGGCGCGATGGTGGGTACTGCTGTGCCCATCCTCTCGTCCAACCGTCTACCCATCTGATCAGGCGCAACCGTGTTTATCGGATAGCGTGTCAACGGCGGAGCTCGCGGAGTGTCGTGTACCCGAAGACACCGTGTCCTTCTTATCTCGCCTTAGGTGTAGATGCCGTTTGTTAGATATGCTTGCGGTTGGTGGTCTGCCGTAGCGGATGAACCCTCCATTTTTTTTATGTGGTGTGTTTGGCCTTTAGGGCAAGAGGAGGAATTGCTAGCGCCGTATGACCTCTAGGTGTTTGTGGATAGCGGTGGCATCAGACACGAACGATCATGTGACCCAGGAGGCATCTTGCACTAGCACTCGAGCAGTGCCTATGGAAACCTGCACGTGATACCTTGTGTGGAAGTCAGATGTCGTGGTGCTCGCATTGGCCAGCTTTTTGACACGTATGATGAGGTGCGCGTGTAGCCTTCATTTTCTCTCGTGCGGGATTTTCAATTTTTGTTGTCGACAGGGAAGCAGGCGGTGCTCACAAGACCTCGCAGATGCAGAACGAAAGCAACGCCGCCGCTTCTTTTTCGGGGAACCGGGGAACAGAAAGCACTGGCCGCCAACCCTCGTCCTCTTCGTCAGCCCCGGTGGCGACCACTGGCGAATCTCCACCGGGAAAGCAAGGCAGCGGTGGGGGCGATGCCGACGGTAGCGATGACGACAGTGATGACACCGGTGTGCACATCGGCGGTGTGGCCTCGGTAGAAGCGGAAGAGATCAACCGCGCCGATGCGGTTTCGAAAAAAGCTTTTTACGGCGCCGGATCTCGCCGGCCGGCTGCAGGTGTGGCTGAGGGCCGGAATTCCGGGCGCGTGGGCAGAGCAGCGGCGGCGACGACTGGTCTTGCTGGCGGATTGAACGCGGCAAGAAGACTGGGTGGTGGCGGTGTTGGAGATGATGGAGGCGGCAGCGGCCATGCCGGCGGCAATGGCGACAGTGCGAGCGGGGTGCATGGGGCAAAACGGCCACGAAAGAAGGTACGTGCGCTGGGGTTTTCATTACCAAAGGGTGTTTCGTATGGGGAGAGTTGGGTGTCCTTCGGCGATAAGGGGTCGAAATCTGCGCTTGGTGTGAAATATCATTGATGAAGATTGGACCCTGGCCAGGATGTATACCAAACTACAGTGATCGCGCTGCATAAGTCGTACGTAGAGTCGATAAAGGGTCCCGGCGGAAATCGTATGCATAGTTATTCTCTATTCAGCCATACACAAGAGCGCATTGAACATCGATTGGCCGTCGCTTCACTAGTCGTCCATACAGATGCGGTCCGCCGTGATTCGTTATGGCTTGTTCGTCTCCTGCTTGATGTCGATTGAAATCCTTTGTATTCCGGAGCACCTACATGCACCTAGCTCAACAGTCGCACCTGTATTCAGAAATGAGCCTTGGCCTTGTGGCGTTCAAAACGCCAAACGATAGAGCTGCCATGAAATATCCAATGTGGTGTACGACTGTAGACAGCAGGAGTGAGGCTTTTCGTGTAAGCTTGATTTTATTGAATATGGGTGGCATGAATGGGTTTTACAGCTGCTTGCACGTAGGAACCTATCGCATCAGCGCCGCCACGCCTCGAGAAGCCGCGTGTCCCGGAAGTTCGTCCCGGAATTTGTCGAATACATGTGTGCACCTCATTTAATTGATGGTACACTCACTGGGATTGAGTCAAGAGAAGCTTTCCTGCCAGTCTCTAGTTAGAGGCATTGGTGTAGGGTAACCGTAGAACGATACTGGCGGAGTACAGTCCCCATCATTCGTCAACTTTGGTCGGGAAACATGGCCGTGAGAGAACGCTGCACAACGTATGCAACGTGTGGAGGGGGAATCAAATTGCTGACTTTTCTTCTCTACTCCATGGTGCCATTTTTCTTGACCCTGCTCCTCAGGTGGTACTTGCTAGCGAGTTCAGCGACAGTAGTTCCGACGAAGACAGGGAAATTGAATGCAGCAAAAGCGGCCCAATAATGCCGCAACCAAGCACGTCCATTCCGGCGCCAATAGAGACAGGTCATTCGACGTCGCCGTCGCCGGAGGTTCCTCGTCAAAAGCTACCGGCCCACCATCAGCCATCGCTTTTCTTTGCCAGCACGACGCGAAGAGCACGACAACCGGGGCCAAACTCTCTCAGCGGTCGAGCCGACGACAGCAGTAACGCGGCAGCGACAGGCCCGACAGAGAGTGCCGCTCCCGCCGTGTCGTCCGACCGCGGTGATGTTGGCCTCTCTGGCGATGCGACTGACATGACAGCCTCGTCGGCGGCGCGGCAGGAACCACCTCCGGCTGGTGCAGAAGCAGTAACGAGAGTGGGTCAGCGTGAGCCCCCCGTGGGTTGGGTGATTGATGTAAGACCAACACCTCCTTCCGATATCCCCCTGCTGCCTCGGCGAAAGAAGCAAAGACGGAAAAAAGCCGGCGGTGGGTTGGCAGCGGCGGGGTTGGCAGCGACGCCAACTGGCCACAAAGACACCGTTTCGAGCGCTGCGACGGACGGAGATATCAGTGTACGAGACGAAGATGCGCACCCTGCTAGCTCGGCTGTGCTAGAACCAGGCATGCCTACCGGCCGCGGCGGCGGTGGCCGCGGCGGTGGAAGAAGCGCCCAAGCCACTTCTACTGGCGAGGAGGAACCGGTTGAGGCCCAGGGGGCCGGGGTCAGCGATGCCGCCACGCCGAGGAGGCGGCAAGCTTCATGTTCAAACACCGGACGCGGAAGCGGCGGCGGCGAAGACGACGAAGAATGTAAGAGCGGTGCTACGAATGCACCAGGACTTCCGAAGGACATGACCGAACGTCCGAAGAAGGCCACATCGAAACCATGGTCCGGTGTCACCAACTCTCGCAAGCCCGGTACTGCTGTGCTTCCTGGCACCGCAGGTGCTGCTGGTGCTGATGCTGGTGTTGCCGCTTCTGCTGCCACCGCCGAGGCTGGCCGAGGGGCGCTCGGCCGTAGTGTGAATGCCGGCCGTGTGCCCCAAAAGGGAACCGTGCACGCTGCCGATGGATCGGAGAGTGAGTCGAGGGGCGACCTGAGGATGACACTGCAGATGCTGCAGCTGACTTCGGCGGGTAACAGCAAGCGGAGTGCTACGGAGACGGAGCGTCAACCAAAGGAGACGGACAAGACGATTGGGAGCGGTGGCGGTGGCGGAGGACAGGCGGGCACGAAAAGAAGCTGGTCTGGCGAAGGGCGAGAAGAAGAGTCCAAGAGCGTGAAGAAGCCAAAAAAGAAGAAAAAGAAGGCGGGAGCGGGGGGATCCTTCCCCTTGTCCGCTGTGAAGAGGGACGACATTGATGACATATTCGGCACTTTGACTTAGCTTCCGCACAACAAGTGTTTGCGGAACGATCTACTTCACCGATATGGATGGGGTTTTGGATCTGCTTGCCCGTGGTACCAGATCTCGCAGAGCAGCGTGCAGCGGTCGTATAGCTGCAGCTTAAGTTGTAAGATGCTCAGGAGGATCAGAAAGTTTTCTTGCGACTTCTTTGCGGCGGCAATAATACTAGCAATCGGCCCTCTGCAGGAGACTGCACCGTTTTTCTTTGGGTGTCGCAGAGCTACAACCTCGTTGTACATTGAGGCTGGTTGGGTTTTCACAAAACCAACAAGAAAGCGCCCACCCGTGCGCACCGCAGTCGGGTCATTTTATTCTGTACATGTACTGCTGTGAGCCCCGCATTGCAGATTATTCGAAGGCAACGATCAAAGCACAGCATCACACCATCCAAGAGGGCACGTGAATTCAAGTACATACGTGATGCACCCCCCCCCCCCCCC